TTTTTATTTTGATGTAGTCCCATTTGTTTATTTTCTCTTTAGTTTCCATTGCCCTAGGAGCTGTATCGGTAAAGATATTGCTATGACAGATGTCTGCTATTTTGCTGCCTATGGCTTCTTCTAAGATTTTTATGGTTTCCCATCTTACATTTAAGTCCTTTATCCATTCTGAGTTTATTTTTGTGTATGATGTAAGTTGGCGGTCTCGTTTATTGTTAGTGTGTTTGCTAGTTAACTACCTGTAGGGGAGCACTCCACTCTTCTTGATGCCTGGGCTTCCAGAAGCCTCAACTGACCCCCTATAATGATGTTTACAGTCTGGAATGTATATTTCCAGATAGACTTTCTTTAATCAAAAATAATCAAATTCTTCAGGTTGTTCTGCAGATGGCTTTTAAAAATCATTGTAGACATTTCCCTGTGTTTGCACATATAGCTCTGGCCCTATTACCTGTAAATCTCCCCCTTTTTTTTCTTATGATGGGAAATTTTAAGATTTACTCTCTCAGTAACTAGAATTTTCCTTTTTGATAGACTTCTGGGCTTCCCCAAATGGGACTATTATTAACTATGCAGCACAGAACATCAGTGTATAAAGGTACAGATATGGATGCAGATATTGATACTAGTAATGCATTAGTAATATTTAAATAGTATCTTTGCTCTCGAGTATTTCTTTAAGAAAAAATAACCAAAAATAGTAATACATGTTTTTGAAAATCCCTCCTTTTTTTTGTTTGTTTGCTTTTTGCATCAGGATTTTTCCATTTACAGAGGAATTTACCATTGCCTCTTTTTAATTGCAGGCTCCACCAGAGCATGTAAACTATAGTTCAATTTGCGAAAAGTTAATTTCTGCTGTACTCTGAACGACATCACAAAGTGCACCACCTTAATGTAGTGACTAAGGTGTTTATCTGGTTACTGTGTTGGCCCTAAGCACTGACTGGTATTTAGATCACTCTCAGTTCTGAAACCTCACCATGAGGCAAACACCTCTTAGGCCTTGAAAGTTCCACCAACCCTGGGCTCCTAAGACTAGACCTCCTACAGATCTACTCAAGTGCCTGCCACTGAGGCAAAATTCTTCTCTGGCTGTAAGCAAGAGGTGATCATTGCTTTCATATTGCTATGGGGTACAGGAAAACCTTAAAGTAAATTAGCCAAATGAAAGGTCTGGAATAATGTCAACTTCCAAAATAATCCATGGCTAAGCAATAAAAGAGATTTTATTTTGTGATACATTTCCTCCGACTACCAATGGATCGATATCTATTGAGCACCTACTTTGTATAGGGCACATTGGTAGGTCATAGAGAAGGACTCTGAGGCACTGTCCCTCACTTCCAGAAGAACTCTATTAGAGTTCTTTATAGGCAAACAGCACAATCAGACTCAAGCTAACTAAGATTTTTTTTTTTAAAGAATGTATTGGAAGGCACTGATGTAATTCATGGGATTGCTGAAAAGGTTGAGTGACCAATCCTTATTACAAACAAAACCAGTTCCAGAAATCTAGGTCATGGGAACCATGGCTAGCATCATGACAAAATCAGCTCTGACCATTTTCCGTCCTCCAGTCTCCACTCAAAGCCAAACCTGAGAGAGAGAATTGGGTTGGTCCAGCTAGGATCACGCATCCAACTTTTAGCAGGGGCAGGCGATGGCACTTTGATGATCAGGCCCACGGAGCTGTCTCCAGTGCAAAATCAGGATGCCAGTGCCAGGAGAAATGGATGCTGGGCAGGCAAGAAGAGCTGATGCCCAGTGTGAGGAGAGCACAATGTAGAAGGAGAGGCACGCTACATCCAAAGAAGCAGTGCTAAGTTATGGGTGGTTCTCCCCTCACTGCGCTCACATGGCCCAGCAGCCTCTCTGACTTCCCTGGGCCTCTGCCTAGCCTCCCCCGGTGCACTATGTGCTGTTTCAAGGCCAGTTCTGTTTCCGATTCGCCTTGAGGTCATTCCCTCTTTGCCCCACCACACACATACACTTCCTCCAGTTCAGTGTGCGGCAGGGCCATTCAGGGAAATAGTGGGAGGAGGAAGGGAAAGGAGGAGAAGAGCCTGGAAAGCGACAACTCCCCAGAGGAAGAGGGAACAAGAGGCCCTCTCACCATGGTAGCGAGTCTCCCCTCCCATATTATTGGTCCACTGTGCCCAAAAGATTTCAGGTTAAAATCAGTTTTTGTTTGGTCTTAAGCCAAAGTATTTTCCAGATCTCCACTCCACACACACACACACACACACACACACATACACACACCCTCCTGTTCAGCACCATACAAACCATAATATTCTGTGGTTCCTCTACTAATGTTAATTATT